GGGGAGGGTTGTAACAGCCCAATTTTCAATAATTGATTAATTATACTAATTAATTGGATTATGTGATTTATTTGATTTAAATGAATTAATTGGATTTATTTCAATTATATGAGTTAATGGATTTAACTGGTTTATTCTATTTGGTAGAATAATGTGGATTTACTAGATATTCTCTAATTAATGATGAGATGAGATATTTTATGAGAAAATGAATTGGTAGATATTTTGAGAAGAATTATGATGGAAAGAAAATAGAAAGATATAAAAGGAAAGTAGAGGGAAAGGAAAGAGAAGGATATATAAGGGAAATTGGAGAGAAAAGAAAAGAATAGAAAACATAAGAGAAAGAATAGAGAAAGAAGGAGAAAGAGGAGAAAAGAGAAAGAGAAGAAGGAAAAACTTGGAAAAGCTCAAGAACAACTTCTAGCTCCAATTTAATCAAGGTAAGGGTGTGAAATATCATTATCTTATCAATGTATGTGATTATGTATGGATTGTTTGAGTTTGTTTGGGTGTTTTTCTCCATTTTTCATTCTAGGGCATAAATGGTTTAATCGGTAGAATTGAGTTTTGAACGGTTAGAATTCAAAATAAATTGCGTAGTTTAGTCGGGTAATGTTTAGCCGTGATTATTGTATTTCGTTTGATTGAATTTGGTTGAGTTTGTGAGTTTTGACATTTTTGGATAATTGAGGGTTTGAGATTTGAGTGGAAATCGGACGTCGTAGAAATCGTGTTTAATGGTTCTAATTCACTGCTATATGTTAGGTGAGTATGAGTATGTGTTTGTTTCGAAAAAAAGAATTGAATCGGTCGGATTTTCGGGCGAAAATGCAAAATCCCGTAGCCGTGTTTAGGCAAAATTCTGGTTTTTCAGAAAACTTCGAAAATTCATAACTCTTGAACCGTAAGTCGGTTTTGACCCCCGTTTGAAGCGTTGGTAAGTTAACGAGATGCTCTTTCTAGAAAAAATAAGTTTGAGGCCTGTACTTAGTTCAATTATAGCAGAAAATTGAAAACATATTGTTGTGTTGATTTTTACCGTCACGAATGTGTGTGATTGATGTGTTATTGTGCAGAATACTTTTGTTATATAACGTATAGCTTGTGCATGTTGTGATATGATATGTTGTGGGTAGCCGTATGACGTGAATCCTAGATGGTGGAATCGATTATGAAATATAATCTTTTGACAAATATATGCATATTTTTTGTATGTGAAGAAAGCATGAGAATATATTGTGAATATGTGTGCATTGCTTGATAAATGTGGTAATGATATTGAAGTGTAAATGCATATTGATTGTATGCGATATTGTGAATGCATGAGAACGTATTTATAGATATGTGTGCATCGCTTGTGTTTGTATGTGAAGAATGCATGAGAACATATTTTGAATATGTGTGCATTGCTTGTGATTGTGTGTGAATAATGCATGAGAACATATTGTAGATATGTGTGTATTGTTTGATAAATATGATGATGATAATTTAAAGTATGAATACTTTGATGGTGTGAATATGTTGTGTGTGCAATCATGTGATATAATTCTTATGTGATGAATTATTTGAGAATGCATAAGATTAAGATGCGAGAACGGTCTTAAGTGCATTTGGTTGTTGATTGCATACGCATCATTTAGTCAAGAGGCAATGTTTGCTAGTTTCTTGGAGGCTAGTGACTTGTCCCAAACCTAGAGCGGGGTTTGAAAGCTTAGGGAACGGGCTTTTGTTGTTATCGGTCTAGGGAACGAACCCGGTTTAAATGTAAAAACCGAAAAATGATAACAAGTGTTGGTACCACATGACATGAGTTGCATTGAGTCTCATGGAATGAATATATGATTGTTATATGAAGTTATGAATAGGTGTATGTACATGACTTGTGTAATTGAGAATTATGGATATGTTGATGATTGTCCATATTTGCCTATATATATATATATATATATATATATATATATATATATATATATATATATATATATATATATATATATATATATATATATATATATATATATATATATATATATATATATATATATATATATATATATATATATATATATATATATATATATATATATATATATATATATATATATATATATATATATATATATATATATATATATATATATATGCTATGTGAAGTGTATGATGAGTTATGATGAAGTATGGTGAGAATTGTGTAATATGCGTATGTGCATTACTTGTGTAATTGAGAGTTGTGAAAATGTGATTATTGTATGAAAGTATGCTTATGAGCATGAATTGTTGATTTGAGAGTTGCGAATGTGAAATTGTGAATTGATGAATAAACATGATTATATATGTTTATATGATTTGTAGTGAATTAAACATAATGTGTATGTTTATGTGGATTTGATTGAAATTGTGAAAGTGTACATGACGTTATGCTTGGATTATATATATGTGTATATATGACAATGTATATGAGTAAATTATGATGAATGTGGTGAGAATGCGAAATATGTATACTTTTATGTCTATATTTATATATACATGATTATATGTATTGTTATTATGATAATATTTCTCACTGCTGTTTTATAATGCTCTATGAGGCATTGCAGATTAGGATTGCTGGAGGTCTTTTTGTGAAGTATAACTTCATTCTTTTGTCGGTCAGCTCTGATATGTAGCACCGGGTAGTTAGGATTGTATAGCATCCTTTTGTGATACATTTGTAAATGTATCAGCTGATAATGTTTTGGAAAACATGAATGATATGGTGAACCAAACTGAATTATGTATTTATATGATAACATGTTTTAAGTGATTCAAATGTTTTAATCTTTCACTTTAATTTTAAATATTGAGACATGGGCGTAAGGACGAAGTTCCTATGTTGTAGCTACCCCATTGTTACATATCTTTATTTGGGCAGGTGTTGCATGTTTTATTTTCATGTATGTGTGACATGCTCCTTTTATACCATATTTTAAATTTACTCTGACGAAATTTCAATAAGTGATTAAGTGATTTATTTGTTTATTTGGGGGTATAGAAAGGGGGTGTTACAACACCCACGCCCACACACGTGCGCACGCTCACACACACACATACACACACGTACAAGCACATGCACGCACGCTTACACACACACGCACGCGCGCGCGCACACACACACACACACACGTACAAGCACACACACGCACGCACACACACATGCACACTCACACACACATACAAACACACACACATGCACACACACACGAACGCACACGCACACACATGCACACACACACACACACACACACAAACACACGCACGCACGAACCCGCACACGCACGTGCTCGCGCGCGCACACACACTTATTTATTTTTTAATAACTATCAAATTTCTATATACTTAAAAAAAGAAATACTAATAAAACGGTGAACCATTTAGTAATAAATAAATACTTTTCACTGTACGCGTCAACAAAAAATGATATATTTAATTTACATTAAGCTTAATTATATTTTTGTTCCTCCAATTTTTTCTGATTCACAAAATTAGTCTTTCTAAGCTTAATTATATTTTTGATCCTCCAATTTTTTCTGATTCACAAAATTAGTCTCTCTATTCTAAATTCAAACAATTTTGGTTTTCCTCTAACGTTTTTTTCATTAAAAAGTCGATGAAATGCTCACTTTTTTAACTTATATCTTTATCTATAAAGTTCAACATTATATTTATTTATGATGATTTGTCATGTTTCACAAGAAATTGTAATTTAAAAAATAGAAAAATCATTAATTTTAAATGCAAAAGTATGAGAAAATCATCAAAATTGCTTAAATTTAAAATAAGAGGGCCAATTTCGTGAATTATGTAAAATAGGGAACCAAAATTTTAATTAAGTCATTATATTATAAATTAAATACATATTTTAACCCTCACATCTATTATTAAAAGAATATTTGAGAATAAGGGTGTTCAAATCCAAAACGATCCAAATAAAAATCGCAAATCAATAAAAAAAATTGAAAATTGCAAAAGTTCGAATATTATTGAATATGTTTGAATGTCACTTTATAAAAATTGTTCGATTCAGGTCGGATTTCAGAATGATTTTTTAAAACCAATCCAAATTGCGTGTATTATTTATACTTATTTATTTAATTATTTATATAATATGTTGTATTAATTTATTATTCGATGATAATTATTTTTTAATACTATTTATTAATTTAGTTATTTTTTATTATTTCAATCATAATGATCATTCTCATTTTGTAATATTAATTTTTAATATTACTATATGATATACATTATATAAAATCTATTATTTATTAGTATTTTTATAATCTTAATAAAAAATTTAATTTATAATTTGAATATCCAAAATCTAATCCAAATTAAACCGCATAAAATTAGATCGGATCGAATCAAATTTTTGTAATCAATCATTCAAATCAAACCGAACTACAAATAAATTTATCATTGAATTCAATTAGTTTTTAACTCAAAACCGATTTAAACCGCACCACGAACACCTCTAGTTAAAATCTGTATAAAAATAATAATTAAAAATTTGACTTTATTCTAGAATAATTAATTTAATTATAATAAATTAAATAATTTTGAAATAATTAAACTTTTAATTTCAAAGTATCATTAATTATTTTTCGATACTTTAGTCAATTAATATTATAATTAATATTATAATTATCACGTTCATTTTAATATATTTCATTTATATTTATTATAATGATAATTATTCAAGTACTTATAAATCAATAACATTTTTTAAATAAATAATATATTAATAAAAATAATTATTAATAATTACTTTCTTAGTCAAATGGAGCAATCAAAACTGAAATTGAGCAAAATGAATATTATTAAAAAAGTTTTTAAAATTTCCTTATTTCAATTTCAGACAAATGCCAAGTCTCTTTAAAAGCCACACTTTACACCATTGAACTTGAACCTCTCAACAATTCCTTCGTAAACCAAAGCAAACAATCACAAATAGCTTGGTAGCTATGTCAAACAAAAATCTAGCTTCACCCTTAGGAGAAGCAAATATTCCATTATTATTACCGAATGAAGAAGAGGAACAACAACAAACTCTTACAAGGAAGGTTATGATTGAATCAAAGAAGCTATGGAATATAGCAGGTCCTGCAATTTTCAGTCGTATTACATCCTTTTCTATGTTGGTCATCACTCAAATCTTCGGCGGTCATCTTGGTGAACTCGAACTCGCCGCTATCTCCATTGCTGTTAATGTCATTGTTGGCTTCAATTTTGGAGTCTTGGTAAATTTACGTAACACTATTTCATCTAATATATATTCATTTTGTTATCTCTATGTTCAATTTTGTTTATCATTTTTCAGTTGGGAATGGCGAGTGCATTAGAAACACTATGTGGACAAGCATTCGGAGCAAAACAATATCACATGTTAGGAGTATACCTGCAGCGGTCATGGATAGTTCTATTCATTTGCTGCATTCTTCTATCACCAATGTATATTTTCACAACGCCATTGTTAAGAGTTTTGGGACAACCAGAGAATGTAGCGGTATTAACAGGAGAAGTTACAATGTGGATGATACCGTTACAGTTATCACTCGCGTTTCAGTTTCCCCTCAGTAGGTTCTTACAGTGTCAGCTTAAAACCGCCGCTATAGCTTGGGTTTCTCTGATTGCATTTTTGATTCATATTTTAGTTAGCTGGTTGTTTGTGTTTAAGCTTCAGCTTGGTGTGATTGGAGCTGCTGCTACTTTGAACTTCTCTTGGTGGGCATTAACGGTTGGGCTTTATGTTTATACTGTTTGCGGCGGTTGTCCTTTGACATGGAAAGGGTTTTCCATGGAGGCTTTTTCTGGACTCTGGGAATTTCTTAAACTCTCTACTGCTTCTGGAGTTATGTTATGGTAATTTTTTTTTTCTTTTTTTTTTCTTCTTGATTGATTAATAGATTCAATGTTTGTTATGTTTCTAGAAATTTTTATTACTTTTTATATTTTTATATTTTTTTTTCAGTTTGGAGAGTTGGTATTATAAAATTCTGATAGTGATGACCGGGAATTTACCAGATGCAGATATTGCAGTAGGTGCTTTGTCGATATGGTAAATTTATACCTATGGTTATTTATAAAAAAAAATACTGAATTTAATTTTTATATATTTTCTCAATAAAAATATTTATTATTGTCATTGCACCACAATTTTAAAAGTTTTTTTTTATTATTGTTAAAAATTTTAATCATTTCATGATTTTAGTTTATTCATAAAATAAACGTTATTTATATTGACAATTTATATAAATTATTTTAAATAATATTTAACCAAATATTTTATTTGAATCAATTAAGAAACTGAGATGGATATTAGCAATATGTATTGGAGTAGATGGAGTACCTCAATTCAAGTGATATGTGTTAATTGAAATAACTGGTTTAACCTAGTAAACATATTTCTGTGTTTTTCAATATTAATAAGTAAGGAGGTAATACTTATAAACCAACAACTTATAAAAATATACATTAATTATTTAAATTATTTTTATATTAATATTTAATAAAATATTCATGATTTTATTGTATCACTCCATTTTATAACTCTATTAAAAATAATAAAAGGTTGATATTCCATGAATGAATGTAGACATATTTATAACTCTTGATTTAAAGTTAAGAGTGAGTGTACTTTTTTTAGTCAAATACCATTTTTATAGTATTTTATGTATTTACCAATTGTATATTTTTTGTCTATATATTGAGAAAATGTTTTTTATTTAACTTTTTTATCATATATTTGTTACCTTATTTTTAAAGAATTTTCTGAATAAGTATTTTAGAGACAATAATAAATTAAAAATATAGTAAATAGTAAAATGGTTTTTACTTTAAAATAGGGTTACTTTTGTAATTGATCATATTTGTTTTATTTTCCATGATGTTTATTTTTGTACTGATCCATAATATGTTTTGTTTGACAGTATGAATATAAATAGTTTGGAGTTCATGATTCCATTGGCATTCTTTGCTGCAACAGGGTAACATGCTTGTCTTATTTTAATTTCAATAAAATTAGATCGAAGATAACAATACAAAAGTCTTTTCGATTGAATGATTATATATCTAAATATTATTTTTAGTTCTTATATTTTTATTGCAATTATTGTTTGAATTTTTTTCAAGTAAATCTTCGTCTATTATCATCTAGAACCGTTAAACTTTCAAGGGTTGATCTAATAGTGGAGGTTTGAGTTTTGAGAGTGTACTCTTTTTAAAGTCTTAGATTCGAATTCGAATATCAAGATTTCAAAAAAAAAAACACATCTAGAATCGTTAGGACCAACTTAAAACATGTTATATTGCATTTTTAGTTTTTTATTTTGCTTCCTTAGTTTATGGTTAAACCTTAATTTTCTTTGTAGTTTAGAATCAACCATGTTGAGAATAACAAGTGTGAGTAGTATAGAAAAGTTTTATATTGGTTAGAAATGTGGAGACTTGAGCATTTATAAGTGGGAGAATCCACACACATATCACCTTAAGATTTTGGGTGAGTATGTGGTGTGTCTCTCACAAAGGTGTGTTGCTCATAAAAAGAAAGTTCTCAAAGTAAAAATGTTCCCTCGTGTTGACACTCCGAAGTATAGCCTAACAATGGAATCATGGGTCTTTGGTTCGAGTGAAGAGACTGACTTACCTGTATCGAAATTCCGGTAGGTGGTGTTGGGGAGAAAAAATAAACAAAGTATAGAGAAAAAGAGGAACACAATCACAACACGAGAAATGTAACGTGGAAACTCTAAAATAGGAGAAAATACCATGGTCGTTGTCAATAAACAACTAGAGTATAAGAGAACAAAGAAAGTCAAATACAAGTTTAAAGTGATTTTGATTGGTGCATCTTAGAATGAAGAACTTAAATCCTATATATAGCCTTGGACTCCCTCTTCCTTCACAAAACTAAGTTATGTGGAACTTCTTCAACATGTATATTTTCAACCAACCCTAACAATTTTCACCTTAATTGAAAATAATACATAAACTTTAATTGTCTTCTGTGAGATATTGGATCGAACTCTAGTATGAACGAAGGTAGCTTCTTGGTTCGACAATTTGACAGATGTTTAGCAGGTAGTCGAAGGCCGTTCACATGTTATTGTTGAAGTAGTGTATGTTGTAGTTAAAGTATGGTCAAGCATGCAGTTGTCGAAAATGATAGATTTGTTAGCATGACGAATTAGGCTTGTTTGTTATGTCCAATTGTTTAAGTTAGCTTATACTCTAAGTTAACTTGTAATGGGTAATTGTTAAAAAGTCCATTAGTTTAGTATGTTAGATTTTATTATAAATAGCATACTAGTCTCTCATCTTAAGTGTGGCATATCCTAATTAGGGTGAGAGAGTTATTTGTTATTCTTGAGTACTTGTAATATGATTTAAAGAGAAAGTAAAGAATAACAGTTATAACCAATCCTTGTTCTTCTTCTTGTTTTTTCATTAACCCTAACCCTTGTGCGTTTCTTGTTCATAAAAAAATTGTTTATACTTTGTTCCAAGACATCGTTTTTCACAACAAATTTGTGTGGTGAGTGTGGAAAAGATGCCTTCAACAAAGTATGAGATTGAAAAGTCCACCGGAGTGAACGATTTCGATCTGTGGCGCTTGAAGATGAAAGCTCAACTGGTTCAACAAGATTGTTTGGAAGCGCTGAAGGGAGAGACAGTCATGAACGTTGCGTTAACGGAAACTTAAAAGACGGTCATGATAGAGAAAGCCCACAGTGCAATATTGTTGATTTTTGGTGATAAGGTTCTACGACAGGTATTAAAGGAGACTACGGCATCAGGGCTGTGGTTGAAACTTGAAAGTTTATACATGACCAAATCTCTGGTGAATCGACTCTACCTGAAGCAAGCTTTGTATTCATTTAAGATGAGTCAAATACAAAGTGTTGGTTGAGTAGTTGGATATGTTCAACAAGCTTATTCTTGATCTTTAAAATATTAATGTGAAGACCGATGATGAAGATTAAGCACTGTTGTTGTGTGTATTGCCCAGAACACATGTTCACTTCAAAGAAACTCTCTTGTATGAAAGGGAGTCCCTGAGCTTTGAAAAAATTCAATCAGTCTTGTATTCTAAGGACTTGAACGAACCAAAGGAGCATAAACCTTCGACGGTTGGTGAAGGTTTGGATGTTAGGGGAACATTCCTGCGAAAGGATGGTAAGTTCGACAAGAAGAAAGGTAAAAGTCAGCAGAAGTTTTATAGTGGTGAGGCATCTGGTATTCGATGCTATCACTGTAAGAAGGAGGGCCACAAAAGAAAGGTGTGCCATGAGCGCCTGAAAGATCATAGAGGTAAAGATAATGGAAACACAACCATTTTTCAAGATGACTTTGACTCATCTGATGTCTTTGTGGTTTCAAGCAGTGACTTAAGAAAGGAGTGGATTATGGATTCAGGTTGCACTTGGCACATGACTCCAAAGAAAAACGTGTTTGAAGAATTGTGTGATCAAGATGGTGGATCACTGTTGCTAGGAAACAACAAAGCTTACAAAATTATAGGTATTGGATCTGTGAGATTCAAGCTTCATGATGAGTCAATAACGCTATTGACTAAAGTCAGGTATGTACCTGATTTAAAGAGAAATTTGATTTCTCTTGATGAATTCAACAAGAAGGGATATGTTTTTCAAGGAGAGAAAAGTATCCTAAGAGTCATGAAGGGGTCGAAGGAAGTCTTGAGAGGCGTGAAGAAACAAAGCTTGTATACCCTTGAGGCTGAAGTTGTAAGTGGTTCGACAAATGTTACATCCATGAAACCTTTGTCGAAGACAAAAATTTGGCACATGAGATTGGGCCGTGTCAGTGAAAGGGGTTTAGCCGAATTAGGGAAACAAAATCTGCTTGGTGGAGACAAAGTCGAAAAACTAAAATTTTATGAACCCTATGTACTTGGAAAAACTTGCAGAGTGAAGTTCAACAAAGGCGAACAAAGAACACATTGATCCCTTGATTACATCCATGTTGATCTTTGGGGGCCTGCAAGGTGTCTATCACATTTAGGAGCAAGTTATTTTCTATCCATAATTGATGATTATTCCAGAAAGTTATGGGTATTCATACAGAATACTAAGGATGAAACTTTTGAGAATTTCAAAGGTTGGAAGACTCTGGTCGAAAATCAAACTGGCAGAAATTTCGAGAGGTTGAGAACCGACAATTGCCTTGAATTTTGCAATGAGGCGCTCGACATCTTTTGTGCTACCCCAGGTATTTCAAGGCACAAAACTACTGCAGGTACTCCATAAAAAGATGGTTTGACAGAAAGGTTTAATTGAACTATTTTAGAAAGAGTTAGATACATGTTGATTAGTGTTAGGTTAAAGAGGTGTTTTGGGCTGAGGCTGTTTTGACAGAAACATATATGATAAACAGATGTCCTTCAACTGCGTTATATATGAGGACACCTGAAGAAGTTTGGTCGGGACATCCACCAGATCTCGACAAATTGAGAATATTTGGTTGTGTGGCCTAGCTCACATTAGGTAAGACAAGGTCGAACTTAGAGCTCTGAAATGCATGTTCATGGGATACCCTGAAGGAGTCAAAGCTTATAGGCTATGGTTCCTAGAGCCAGGCCAAAGGAGGTGTATCACCAGTCGAGATGTACTTTTCAATGAAGCTGAGATGACCTTCAAGAAAACTAATGATGCTAACGAAGAGCTGGAACAGGGAAATATTCCTGTTGAGGTGGAGCATGTTGATGTTGAATTACGTATCCAAGAAGAAGCAGAAGATACTGAGGAAATTGAGGAAATTGTTTATTACTACCTATTATCAAGAGATAGATCGAGGAGAGTCATAAAGCCACCTCAGAAACTCGGGTATGCAGATCTTATAGCTTATGCCTTAATCTCTGCAAGTGAGGTTTTAGACGAAGAACCTAAAGACTATAAGGAAGTTATGAGGTGTCGAAATAAGCCTGAATGGCTTAAGGCCATGGATGATGAAATGAAATCTCTTCATGATAAAAACACATAAGAACTGATCAAGAAACCTACTGGAGCAAGGTTAGTCGGCTGTAAGTGCATTTTCAAAGTTAAAGAAGGAATAGAAGGAGTGGCGTCGAAGTGATACAAGGCAAGATTGATCGCTAGGGGTTTCACTCAGAAAGAAGGTGTCGACTTTAATGATGTGTTCTCTGTATTGTAAAGCACAGGTCCATTTGAATGTTGTTTGACACAGTGACACAATTCGACCTTGAACTAGAACAGATGGATGTGAATACTGCGTTCTTGTATAGTGATATAGATGAAACAATCCTGATAAGGCAACCTGAAGGGTATGTCTAAAGGGGGAAGGAAGATTATGTGTGCAAGCTAAAGAGATCTTTATATGGACTGAAACAATCTCCTCGACAGTGAAATAGGAGATTCAACTAGTTTATGGCACACATAAGTTTCATTAGAAGTCAGTTCGACCACTCTGTTTACTTTAGATTTCGACCCGGTAATTCATTTGTTATTTTTTTTTTTGCTTTATGTGGATGATATTCTAATAGCAAGTAACAATGTCGAAGATGTAATAAGGGTGAAGGCTGAACCCAATAAGGAGTTCGACATGAAGGATCTGGGAGCTGCATCTAGGATTCTTGGGATTGACATCCGAAGAGATAGAAAGCAGTAGAAATTATGCTTATCTCAAAAGGCATACCTACGGAAGATTCTCGAAAAGTTTGGTATGTCGAACTCAAAGCCTGTTGTGACTCTCACAAACCCTCAATTCAAGCTGAGTATAGATCAGTGTCCTAATACTAATGTCGAAAGATCTTGTATGAATAGCTTTCCATATGCTAATATAGTGGGTTCTTTGATGTATGATATGATATGTACTAGACCCGACATAGCATATGCAACAAGTCTTGTAAGCATGTACATGGCGAATCTTGGAAAGGCTCACTGGCAAGCATTGAAGTTAATTCTAAGGTACATTTATGGGTGTCTGAACAGAGTCCTAATTTATGGTGGAACCTT